CGCCATTGTCCAAAACAGCAGGAAGGAGCAATTCGGGGTACCTCTTGTCTTGGTTGCAGTTCGATAGCAGTTTTCCCCTGGTGTACAAAGGAAGCTTTTGTTACGTACAAGGGCAAAAATAAGGCCAATTTCTTGGATCCAGTAAGCAGAAATGTAATGGAGAGGGGAGAACAGAAGCCAAGCATGACCAGCAGCCTTCCTGGGTAAAAGAAGCACCTGTGTTGAGGAAGATCTAGCAGCAGAGTGTCAGGTGAAGGTCAAGTCTGTCAAGCAGGTGCTTACCTTTGGGCAAGCCTACTCCTCCACAGTCTCATGGCTGGACAAGCAACTTCAAGGTGGCTGGACAAGCAACTTCAAGGTGGAATCTTTGGCAGACAAATTGGAAGCCAAGCCAAAAAAAATCAGAGGGATGGAACTTGCTCTTCTCCTCCTGAACCAAAATTTCTTTCTTCAAAGACCCATGGGTACTAGCAGAGTTTAGGAGGGGCAATGTCAAGTCACAAAAAACTGACTGCTTTTAAGAGTTATACAAAGATGAAATGTTTCCAAGTTCTGCAGAATCCAGAAACTCTCCCAGGCCCTGGACTAAAGAGGATGAGTTTCTACAAAACAGATGGGTACTTTTCGATTGCATAAGAACCAACAGATTCAACACCCTCTCTCCAGCTGCTGCCAAAATGGCTGCCTAGACATCTCCATGCTGCCCGTTTTGCTCTGGGTCCTCACTAGAATGCAATGCAGAGGCCTCCTGTGGTAACAGCCATTGCCAAAAGTCAAAGCTGAAGCACCCAACTGCTCGACTCCTGATAAAAAGGACTCATTGGCTAGGAGCAGAAGGTGCCGCTTTTTGCTTCCTAAAGGCCAGCAGTCTAGGACTGGTTCTCACCATCATCTCACCCTCTGACCGTCAGAGCAAAAAAGCCAGTTCTGGAACAACTTCAAAGCTTCAGCAGACCAGTTCAAGAGCAGCAGAGCAGCAGCTGAATCTGGGGCTGGTTGCAAGCCAAACTTATCCAAACCAAAGGAAAGTCAATGAATGAGATGGTCATGAGAATCAGATGTCTCCTACAGTTGAGCCCAAGGCCAAGAGATCTGATGATGACGAGCAGCTGGAAAAGAGCCACACTATACATCTGAAGCATATTCAACTCCCCCCAAAGAATCTAGGAACTGTAGTTTACTCCTTCACAAACCTTTCCAGCACCCTTAACAAATTTATAGTTGCCAGGATTCCTTGGGGGAAGTCATATACTTTAAATGTGCATTAAGTATGCTTTAAACGCATAAGGTGGATCTGCCTGGAGGGCGCTGTTTGCCACAAGCAGATGGGGAAGGAAGCTCACCAAGACCCTCCTGCCCTGTGGGGTTCGGGGAAACGGTCCCCATCCTTGGAGGAAAATTCTGCAAGGAAGACCCTCTGCACGCTTCCTAGCGCCCGTCGCCTTCCACCCCACCTTCCTAGCGACATCCCCCCCCCCCAAGCGGGTGGCAGAGGGGTGCAGCGCCCCGCCCCACTTCTAAGGCCGGGTTCGCCGGGGCTGATGGGGAGAAGGAGCTGCCCCCTGCTGGATCCTCTTGAAGGGGGACTCGGGCGGCTCCGGGACGCCCCCTCGGCCGCGGCGCGTTCTGCAGGCAGCCCAAGGCACGCAGCTGCCCAGTCCCAGCGCCGAAGCCAGCAAGGCGGGCGGCCTGGCTTTCTTGCAGCGCCGCAGGCTCTTCTTCAGGCGCTGCCCGTGCGCGGTCAGGTAGAGCTCGGCCTGCGCCACGCCGCTGCCCAGGCGGCCCAGGCTCTCGGCGCGGTTGGCCATGCGCAGCTCGGCCTCGATGAAGACGCGGTGCAGCTGCTCGACGCGCCTCTCCAGCTCCGACACCAACTGCCGGCGCCCTTCCGCCTCCAGCAGCCGGCGCCGGGCTTCGGCCAGCTCCAGCGCGCCCCGCACCGCCGCCGGCAGGGACGAGGCGGAGGCACCCGCGCCGCGCAACTCCAGCTCGCGGCTGGCGGCAGCGGCCGCCTGCTCAGGCTTCCCGGCCTCCGAGCGGCTGTGCGGCGTCATGGCTTCTCCGGCAGAGGGCGCGGGTCCGCAGCCGGGCATCCAGGCGCGCGCGCTTCGGAGAGCGAGAGGAGCGCCCCGCCGCACCTTGGAGAAGCCGCCGCCGCTGGCGAGGCGCCCGGGGCGCGCCGGGCTCCGCTCTCGACCGGGCTAAGGAGCTCCTTCCCAGGATCGCCTCGGGGATTCGGGGTGCGCTTTCTCTCCCCCGATCCCCCGCCCCGAGGCTCCAGCCAGGGGACCGGCGGCGGCGGCGTTGCTGCTGCGGCAGCGAGGCGCAGGTCTCGCCGGTCTATGATGTTGTGGCGAAGTGGCGAACGGCTCCGAGCGCTCTTATAACGGGACGGCAGGGCGGGCGGGGTGTTGGCAGGGGGGCGGCTGAGAGATGCCGCCCTGAGCCAGTCATCGAAGCGGCGGGAGCATCACTCAGCCAGCGAATCCCCGCCCGGTGCCTGCCCGCCCACCCGGCTGCAGCCGGTGCGCATCCCTTTGCCAGTCCCGACCCCGGCTCCCCTCTTCCCGCCGGGCGGTTGCATCACCTTCGCGCACGTCCGCCTGGGGACTCTCCGCTGTTTGTCCTCCGCGGACGCCCCTTGCCTCTGTACGGAACGGCTGCCAACCCAGCAGCAACCTGCCGCAGGAGCTTCTGGCCAGACACGTTTTCGCTCTGCTCGGAGGCAGACCAGACCACGCACAAACACACCCCTTTCTCACGACGCCCTTTCCCTCGGCGGATACACACGTGCCAATAGCACACTTTTACTCGAGGCTTTCCCGCCCCCCCCCCCCCCGCTGAGGGCAAAGTACATGCTTCTGGCAAAGGTGGACAGGCACATTGACTTAACACATACGCTTGCTAATCATGGCAAATTCCCATCCCCATGACCATAAAGAACAGGGAGCGGGTGGCATTGTGGTCTAAACCACTGAGGGCTTGCTGATCAGAAGGTCGGTGGTTCAAATCTGTGTGACGGGGTGAGCTCCCGTTCTGTCCCAGCTTCTGCCAACCTAGTAGTTCAAAAACATGCTGGTGCAAGTAGATAAATAGGTACCGCTGCAGCGGGAAAGAAAATTGTGTTTCCATGCACTCTGACTTCCATCCCGGTGTCCCGTTGTGCCAGAAGTGGTTTAGTCATGCTGGACGGCTGTCAAATGCCAGCTCCCTCAGCCTGAAATGAGCTGAGCACCACACTCCATAGTTGCCCTTGACTAGACTCAACTGTCCAGGGCTCCTTTACCTTTACCTTCCACCCATTAACAACTAGGGCTGATGAAAGAAATCTTAATACAATCCTATCTGTACAAAATTGATTGTCTTATTGCAGTCTTAATTGTTCATTGCAATGCATTATGAATTTTACTATAGTAGTCACAGGCCCAGTAAACCCTGTAAAGATATTAGCTTAAGTTTCATGGTCTATACATTTTCCAAGTAAATGTATTAATTAAACCTATATCCTAAACCTATACTTACTTCTGAGGAAATGAACATAGGATTGCACTGTCAATCCAATGAGCTTTCATTGATTAATCAACCAATGATCTGCAGAGTAATAAAGCAATAGAAGAAAAATAATGCGGAAAATTGTTCCCCTCCCTTGTTATGCAGCTTCCTCTATTGTTTTTAGCTGCCTCTCCAATATTTTAATGAATTGGATGTTTTATTGATTTAGTATTATAATTTATTTTTATGTTTTACCCCAATCTAGTATTTGGGGTCTCAGTGAGTGGTAGGCTTTTTTAATAAATAAAAATGAAATAATAGAGTAAGTTTCTGCTTTTGCCCATTTTGTACTCTGATTGGTTTCCTTTGAGATTTACTATAGAAAGTTACATATTGATTTTACTTTTTTCCTATCTGTATTTCCAGCACCCCTGATGAGGACAACTGTAGCAGCATACTGGACAATAAATTATCCAGAAACTGCTTGAAGCTTTCCTCTCATTTTTATGCCATTTTGGTGCCATCTTTTCTTTTTCTCGTTAACTTTTCTTGCAGATTTTAGGAATGTTGGGTTATATTCGAAGTATCACTAAGTGAATAGTTTCTTTGGCTCAATGATTTTGTCTTGCACAATGAAACTTTCCCCTCCTGGCTTTCCCTGTGCCCCTCCCTAATCTGTTCTGGGAGTCCCCCCCCCCAACCCTCTGGAGCAGATTTGGGGAGGGTACAGGAGGAGAGGGGGAGTTTTGTTGCACAAGCTTAAATCTTTTCACCGGCAGGGTGACTTAGATGGATACTGCCCTGTGTATATAATATATCATAATATTAACTTTCTGCATTCTGCTGCTTGCATTTTTGTTGTTCTAGAAGGGATTAATCTGCAAACTTCTTTCTTCCCTTGCGGCTGGTAAAACACAGTGCAATCCTCCTCATGTCTACTCAGAAATTAAGTCCCACTCAGTCAAGAGAACTGACTCCCTGGAAAGAGCTTTATCGGATTGCAGCCGAAAAAGCATGACTGGGGGCTGGTTCAGCTCCTTCTCTGCAGTGTGCAAAATGCAGGTGACTCTCTTTGCCATGCCCACCCCACCCGCAAAGGCAGCTACTGCAAGCTTGAGTCAGTTTCATCAAAGAGCCGCAGCTTCAGCTGTCTCAGTCATGCCTCCTGCGTGAATTCAGAGGGGGTAACGGATGAGAGGGTGAAACCTTGGCAACATCCTGCGGGAAATGTTTCTATAGTAATCCAGACAGGAAAATATTGACCTTAGGGACACAGTGCAGCCCAGTGAGAAAGGAGATAATGGGTGGTTACTGGAAAGAGGTGCATATTTACTTGATTTCCTAATCCTTACAAGGACAGCATATACACATGCTATTCTTCTCCAATGGAACTTAGATTCATCAACCCCAAAACACCCAGCCTTCTATTACATGAACCAGGCAGATCTGAGTGGGGTATGGAATAAATGCTTTAATTTATATTATATATTAGCTCTTTAGGGGAAGGGCTGTGGCTTAGTGGTCGAGCATCTGCTTTGGATGCAGAAGGCCCTGGGTTCAATCCCAGGTAGGGAGAGCTGCTGTCAGATAAGTGGCGATGGACCAGTGAACTGGCTCAGTATAAGGCAGCTTCCTCTCTTCCTATGTTATGGGGGAAATACTTTTATTTTTATTTGTTGGAAGGTTTTAACAGCACTCGGATGGGCTGGAGAATTTTGGGGCCAGGGCCAGGGGAAGCGAGAGACTGGAACATTCTTGGAGTGACAGTTCTAAACATGGGAGAGAGCAATGGGAGCTCACCCTGTCACAGGGATTTGAACCGCCAACCTTCTGATCAGCAAGCCCAAGAGGCTCAGTGGTTTAGACCACAGGGCCACCCGCATCCCTTTGGGAAGATGCCTGGAGTGACAGTTGATTGTGCCTGGGAGAATGAGGGCTCAGAGGTTCCTACCAAGAAAGCAGAACCTGACCCAGCTCTGTCTGTTTACTTGCTTCACCCTTAGTGGCCATTCCATACACAATTTAGCTTTCCCCCCATTTTCGCACTTCTCATCCCAAGGAACCGTCCCCAAGTTTTCCTGTTCTCTCTGAGTTGTTTAATCGCATTACTCCCCCTCACACATGCACATAACCACCATTTCTGCACATTCTCTGAATTACAGCATCCTTCCACTAGATGTTCCACCTGATACCGCAACGTGTCTGCCAACAGCACAGTTACATAAGGCTTTATTAATAAGGCTTAAAGTGGGATGGGTTGGCAGGAAACCACAGGAAACCCACTCAGAACAAGATTGAGAGCTGTGTGGCAGCGAAATGTCATCCACTGAGCTGGCTGTATCCTGCTAAACAGGAGGTAGCATTGGCAGCCTACCCATTGGGGATGTTCTTGCTTTTCTAAATTGAATTTTTTTTATTTGATTTTTTTCTGCTTCTGGTTAGAACTGGAACAGACTGGACACTGGTGAATTTGAAGTATGAATTTGGGGACTTGGGGGCTTCATCCAATATGTTTGTTTGCCTGTTTCAGCTTATAGCTTGACTGACTCTGCAGCTTCACGGCATATGCTGTCAAACGAAGAGTACAAACAGATCCCTGCTCCTCAGCAGGCTTGCAATATGAAGAAGAAGAAAAGAGGGAGAGAGGGCTCGGTGCCCTTTCTTCTCCCAGAAATGTTATTCCCTCCTTTTAAGAGCACCCAGCCTGATAATAATTGGATATCAAATCCTGCATCGTGGCCAGCATTCTTATCCAAACCTCCATGTTCAAGAGGAGGGAGGCTCATTTTATGCAAATTCCACCCATTCAATTCTGTCATTAGGTTTTAAGGCAGTAATCGTATACAGACCTGCAGTACCTGGGTGTAAACCTCATGTGAATACAATTGAGGTTTATTTCTGAGCAGATAGAACTGCACAGCTAGAAATTCAAACAGGATCACTATCCATGGTGCAAGTAGCAATCCTTTTTTGGCCCAAGGACTGCAGTCACACTGGGGGAAACTGCCGGGAGATGCATGTCAGGTGGGTGGGACCAAAGACAAAAGTGAGTGGAGCAATGTGACATTCAGGCCCCCAAAAAGTCAAGAGTTTTTGTACACACAGACAAGCTGCATACGTACCATACATTTAAACACATTACTTCCCACCCGCCCCCAAAGAATCCTGGGAACTGTAGTTGGTTAAGGGTGCTGGGAGTTGTAGCTTGTGAGGAGTAAACTATGGTTCTCGGGATTCTTTGGGATAAGACGTGCTTTAAATGCAATGGGCATTGTCACAATTCAAGGACTAGCCAGGTAAAAGCACTTGAGGAAGGCATGGAGCAGGACCGGTGAAGGGCATGGCCTGGTGAGAGTCCCAAGGGAATCCGGGGGGGGGGGCTGCATTCAGCCCCCAGGCCTGAGATTTCCCCACCCCAGTATAAATGTAACATGTTTTGGCTTCTTGCAGAAATGCAGCTCCAAACATCTCCATTTCTGAGCCTCAGCTCAGCCTCTGCTAAATTATTTAAAGACTTTTCATTCTGAGCTGATCTCCTGATATCACCTTGCAAAGCTGACAAAGGAGGGTTGGGTTTGGGGGGGAGTTAACATCAAAGAGATTTATACCTGTCCTGGAAGGAATTGTTCTTTGTCCTCTGAAGACAAAGACCAGGCATGAGGACACAGACCCTTCCTGCCTTGAGGCAAGATATATTCTATTGTGCATAAACATAATATAGAACACATGCAAAAGAAAAAGAAAAAGGCAGACGCTGCTTCATTTGCAGTTTTTCTTTTGCTGACTCATAAGGTAAGCTTTTACCCCTGTGTCTGAATCAAGGACCATAGCTTGGAAATAGAGGGGGTCTGTACATTCAGCTGAACATCATTGTTACTTGTTATACCTTGCCTTTCCTCCAAGGAGCTTAGAGCAGCATACATGGGTCTCCTGTCCCACTGCCAATTTTTTTCCCACAGCAACCCTGTGAGGTAGGCTAGGCTGAAATATGGCCCAAGGTCACACTGAGATTCATGACTGAGTGGGGATTTGAATTCAGATATCTGTAGTCGGGACGCGGGTGGCACTGTGAGTAAAACCTCAGCGCCTAGGACTTGCCGATCGCATGGTCGGCGGTTCGAATCCCCGCGGCGGGGTGCGCTCCCATCGTTCGGTCCCAGCGCCTGCCAACCTAGCAGTTCGAAAGCACCCCCGGGTGCAAGTAAATAAATAGGGACCGCTTACTAGTGGGAAGGTAAACAGTGTTCCGTGTGCTGCGCTGGCTTGCCAGATGCAGCTTGTCATGCTGGCCACATGATCCGGAAGTGTCTGCGGACAGCGCTGGCTCCCGGCCTATAGAGTGAGATGAGCGCACAACCCTAGAGTCTGGCAAGACTGGCCCGTACGGGCAGGGGTACCTTTACCTTTTTATCTGTAGTTTGCTGGGGGCTTTCAGTTAGAGACCTGCTGATGTGATACCCCCTCACATAACTACCACTTCCAGCATTCCCTGGGGAGAGGAAATTACTGTTTAACCCAGAGATGGTGAGCCTGCGGCCCTCCAGATTTTGTGGGGCTCCAGTTCCCATCAGCCCCAGTCAACATAGCCAATAGTCAGGGATGATGGGAGTTATAAGCTGGAGATCCTTGTGTTCCCTGTTCCTGGTTTAAGTGTTTTAAATCTGTGCTGTAGACTGCTCCACTGCTTTGCGGTGCACTGTGGGGATTTCAGTACCCTTCAAAAGGCCTGTGAGAGAGAGGTTATATCTGTAGGGAAGGGTCCCTGGTTCCGGTTGGGGTTGGCAGAGTGCAAGGCAGGATGTTCACTGCAGGGGACACCAAAGCCCTTGACAGGCAGAGCAAACTAAAACTACTTTTGTCCCCACCTTCCTCCCTGCTGGGTTCTACAAGTGCAACACTAAGGTTGAGGAGGTAGCTGACAATCTGTGCCACCCTCTGAACTAGTTGTAAGAGGACAGAGGGAGGATGGGCTGGCTGAGGGCCCTATTTGTCCTAAAGGATCAGCTTAGCCCTCTGCAGGCTTGGAGACTTCAAAAGGACAACAGCTCTGCCAGGTGCACATGTGACTGGAAGATGTGATGATTGCAAATGAATGGCCCTAAGGAACACTTGTCTATGGGGTACACCTTTTGCACAATGAGCCCCAGTGGAATTGGTTTTACCAACACACAGAACACCAGTAAGAAGCAGGAGGTGATCAAAGATGGCCCAGAGGCAAGGCTTTTCTTGGCACATCACTCTAATGATCAGCTGTGCTTCCCATCCGCCGGGTTGCCTCAGGAGACCAAGAGGTACACCTACCCATTACTCTCCAGTCTTTTCCCTAAGGAAAACAGCATGAAGTTAAGCCTCTCAATAGGGAACCTTAAAAAGGCTAGGGGAGGATGAGTTTACAATACCGGAGGACATGAAACAGACCCGTGCAATATCAGGAAGATAGCTCTTTATTGTAACAGCGTCATGTGTTAGCAATTGCCCCAGCTCACGGAAATGTGGAGTGATCAGGGATCATCCAGTCCAATGATCCAGTCCGAGGGTCATCCAGTCCAACCCCTTGCAATGCAGGAATCACTGTTTCACAATAGCTCTGGGTACATGCGTCATTTATATGAAAATGCTTGGGCCCTCAGCTGTATAGTGAAGAAGCCAGACGTACCTCTGTGGGGAAGGAATTCCACAACTTAGGGGCTGCCACAGAGAATGCCCTCTCTGGGGTCACGCCCAACATTTCTGAGGGAGGTGGAACTACCAAGAGGGTCCCCTCTGCTGATTTAAGACCCAGGAGAGTCTGTGGGGAAGGAGATGTTTGCAGCCTAAGTTGTTTGCGGCTTTAAACACTAGCAGAGCACCTTAAATTGGGCTCAGAAATGAATTGGCAGCCAATGGGTCTGCTTTATAACAGGAATTATATGAGTTCTAAAGGCAATCCCATCCAAAAAGTGGCTGCTGCATAGAATCTTAGAATTGTAGAGTTGGAAGGGACCCTGAGGATCATCTAGTCCAACCCCCTGCAATGCAGGAATATCCAGCTGTCCCAAATGGGGATTGAACCTGCACAACTTTGGCATTTCTGTATCAGCACCATGCTCTAACCAACTGAGTTATCCAGCTCCATTTTGGGGCAGTTAAAAGTTTCAGAGTCCTTTTCAAGGGCAGCCCCATGTAGAGTGCATTGCAATGATGCGATCTGGAAGTTACCAGAGTGTGCAGTAGCATGGCCAGATCGCCTCTGTCCAAAAGGGGCTGTAGCTAGAAAACTAGCCAGAGCTGGAAACAAGCACTCTTGTCTGAAAACTAATGGAAATGCTTTCTTAGAAAATTGACTGTACATACGGGAGGGCAAAGAACAATGTACGGTCATTCTGGGGAGTGCTACAGAAAATCAGGAATAAATTCATTGCTGGGTTGCACATCACTTGCTAAATGATTGCCCTTTCCTGGCAGATTGTGCTACTCCAGTCCTCTGTTCATAATTAGGCTGCCGGGATACATCTATTTATTAAATAGGATAAAATATTTAAACCCTCTTCGACCTGATGTCTCTTTTATAATGCAGGGTATCTTTGAAGTATTTGTTACAAAATCTCAGTAAAGGAGCGGGGAGATGGATTGATCTGACATTTTATTTTGAACATAGTCTTGTTTCCAGTGCTTTTTTTTTTCAGGGAGTATTCAAGGGTACAGAGTACTGGCCAGTGGCGTAGCGTGGGTTGTCAGCAACCGGGGCAAGGCAAGTAATTTGCGCCCCCTAACCCTAACCCCCAGATGTTGCGCCCGGTGCGGCCGGCCCCCCCTGCACCCCCCACGCTACGCCACTGGTACTGGCACCTCTTTCGTTGTTGTTAAAAAGTGTGGCGCTTACTGTAACAGCTTTATGGTGAGTCCTGGCACCTCTTTTCCTAGAAAAAAGCACTGCTTGTTTGCTAAGCTGACACTGGTTAAATATCTATGAATATCCTCCCTCACTTGCCTCCACTAGCTACAGGGTTTTCTCAGGAAGCTCCAGTTCATGGGTAGGCAAACTAAGGCCCAATCGCCTTCTAAATCTGGCCCGCGGGACTTCCGGGGTGGCACCATCGGCAATGGCGGACTCCCTCTGATCTGGAGGGACTAGCTCCGCGCGAAACGGGTCTTTTCCGCTACGGCGAAGCGGGGACCCTTTCAAAAATCACAGGCGGATGAAGCCTGTGACCATGGGACTCGGCGGGCACCCTTAGCGCCCCCCCAACCCGCAAAGGAACCCATTAACGGGCTCCGAGCGAAGAGGGAAGTGGCGCGGTGCTGAGAGTCACCTGCTATTTCCGTGGAGCGAAGCCGCATAGCTGTTGCCGGAGAGCGCTGCCTTTTCCTGGGACAATTTGGCTTCTAAAATAATCACCCGTGAGTACTTAAATTTCGGACAATTGGACTTTAAATAAGGACTGGCGAGCAGAAAGGAATTGGACTTAAAAATTTACTTCAATTTGGCACTGAAACGGGAAGGTCTAAACAGGAAGTCAGCCTTCCGTTTCTTTGTAGACAGAATAAAGCAAAGACAACGTAAACTAGAGCTCAGAAAATAGCTTCTAAAAGATTAACTTTCATCATTTTAAAATTGTTGAACCCCCCTTCGGAAGCAGGAGAAGAAGGGGGATCTTTTTCGGACTGTTTAAACCTGCAGAAGTGAGTTTAAAGTAAAGTAACTTTCCACCGTCCTGATCCTGGAGCAGTGTCAGGACTGACGTTTGAAGCTCATTGACCAGAGACAAACGTTTTTGACAGATAGCTAAAAGAAGAGAAACATAGTGATTCCACTGTTCCCTTTCGCATTTTAAAGGAACAAATATTGACAAAATATCTCAAAAAGGAAACTTTGTTGCTAGATTTGTACTTAAAAGAAAGAACAAATAGAAGTTTTCCCCCTAGAGGGAGACTGTGAAACTGTAACTAATTCCAGGGAGCTTGCAGCTGTTACAGATTATAATCGTGGGAATAGTCTTGTGACCTTGTAGGACAATGTATTCAGAAGCTCTGTGGTGTGCTCTCTGTAAAACAAATGCCCTACTGGAACAGTTAAATGAGAAGACGGATTTGATGACTAATGCGGTCAGAATTTTTGAACAGGCAGTGGGAAACTATATGGAGCCCACCCAGGAATCAAATCAGGAGTGTGCCCTGACAGAACAGATGAGAGAAGAGGATGTTGCTGAATTTTGGGCGCCAGAGATGGAGGGAGCTGTGGCCCTGCAGGAACATGAGCTTTTGGACTTGACAAATGAACTTGGAAAAAGCCAGATTTGGAAAGATAAAGTTTGGACTGGTTTGGAAATGGGGGGTTGGATAGACCCCCCTATGCAGGGATGTTTGGACTTTCCAAGTCTGGCAATGGGCCGTGAGATGTTTGGGGCTGTGGGGGCTCTTAATTTTGGAGGGATTCTGAAACATGTTTTCAAATACCACATGGAGTTTAGTCTGGTCTTTGGAAAAGGGGCTGATTTGTTGAAAAGGGTCAAAAACATTACCAAGCTGGAGTTCCCACGAGTGAAAGGAGAATATGAAGAAGAGCCACGGAAGGGACATGGAAGAGACTTAAGGGCCTCGGATATAAGGTTACCAGGTTAATGCGCTAGATCAATGGGATAAAAAGGACTGACAAAACCCGGGACCAGGAGGAAAGGACGCTGGATGAAGATTGGATTGTTTTTATTTCTTTTTATTATTATTAGGATTGTTTTATAAAATTGATGAATGTTAGAAAAATGTTGGAACGAAATTACTTGGCTCTAGCAAAAATGTTTAAAGAATTAGGTAAGAATATTATGGTTATGAGAAGTTGGTAAAAATAAGATTTAAGTTTTAAGTTTTAAGGTTTTCTATAAGATAAGATGAAAATAGATTAAGGTAATGTAATGACAGAATATTATGAAATATGGAAAGGATTTGCTGCGATAATTAATAACTAGGATACAAAAAAAGGGAGGAGGAGGAGGTCAAAGAAAGAAGGTAATGAAAGTTGAGGATTCGAGAATGATGGATTTGTTTTTATCTGTTTGTGGTGTATTTTTGTTTTTTGAATCTGCATTGTTGGATGCGGTTTGTTTTCTCTTTGTTTTCTCTTTTTTCTTTTTCTGCTGTGTTTTTTTCTGTAATTTTAAAAATTTTCAATAAATATCATTTAAAAAAAAAAAAATCCGGCCAGCAGACGGTCTGGGAATCAGCGTGTTTTTACATGAGTAGAATGTGCCCTTTTATTTAAAATGCATCTCTGGGTTATTTGTGGGGCCTGCCTGGTGTTTTTACATGAGTAGAATGTGTGCTTTTATTTAAAATGCATCTCTGAGTTATTTGTGGGGCATAGGAATTTGTTCATATTTTTTTTCAAAATACAGTCCGGCCCCCCACAAGGTCTGAGGGACAGTGGACCAGCTCCCTGCTGAAAAAGTTTGCTGAACCCTGCTCCAGTTCTCTTTTCCAGCTGTAGCGTTTCCTGAGCTCCCCACTCCTGAGATATGGATCCTATGGGTATATTCAAATTAGTGACTTAAAACTCAGCACAAATAGAGTTCCACCACTTTTCAAGGCAATCCATTTCACTGTCAAGCAGCTCTGTCAGAAAGTTATTCCTTATGTTTAGTCAGATTCTCCTTTCTTGTAATTTGAATCCCTTGGTTCGGGTCCCACCCTCTAGGAGCAGCAGAAAACAAGTTTTCTTCATCATTCATGTGAAAACCCTTCAGATAGCTGAAGATGGTTATCCTATCACCTCCCAACTTCCTCAACCGTTCCTCCTAAGGTTGGATTCCAGAGCCTTTATCATCTTGGTTGCCCTACTCTGCACATGTTCCACCTTTTCAACATCCTTCTTAAAAAGCCTTCTAGTCAAGCTGAAGCTGGTTTGAAGGAAAAAATGCATCAAACAACAGTATTTCTTAAGAAGCCATAGGCTTGATATGGATTGTGGCTAACGTCAAATGTAAGGGGCTTCAAAAACCAGCAACAGAAGCAAACTGGATAGTAAATTGAGCATCCCCGATATGTATTAGTTTCCATCTTCTGCAGTCATTCAGAAACATTGCTTTATTTTTGGGTGCATCCCCCAGCCCCACCCCTCTGTTTTACTTATCCAGATCAAATCATTGATACTTAGAGCTGCAAAAACAGTTTGCAAGCTTCACCTATTGAAGATTGACTTGCCTGCAGACAGGTGTGGACCAGCTTCTTTATATTTTGCCACCTTGGAAGCTGCTGCACTGGCTGTCAATTTGCTTCCAGGCCCAATTCAAATCGTTGCTTTTTTATCCTTTAGGCTGAAATTGTCTCCATACTTACCTGCATTTAATTCCTGCTGAACTCAATGGTGTTCTTTTTTTGTATATAAATATTGAGGTTTTCAATTAAGTAAAAAACAGATAATGTCTGAAAACAATAACAGACATGCACATAATCTGAAACATAAATTAACATACAGTGGTGCCCCGCAAGACGAACGCCTCGCAAGACGAAAAACTCGCAAGACGAAAGGTTTTTTCGTTTTCGAGTTGCTTCGCAAGACGAATGTCCCTATGGGCTTGCTTCGCAAGACGAAAACGTCTTGCAAGTTTGTTTCCTTTTTCGTAAAACCGTTAAAACCCAGGGTGCATTGCTTGAAGAGGTGCAGTTGCGACTTGACCTCGAGGAGCAACACATTGCACGCGGTGTGGTGGCCTTTCTGAGCTTTTTAAAGAGTTTGCTGGATTTTTGAAGCTTTTCCAAAACTTCTTCTACAGCTGTTTGGTAAGTTGACCTTTTAAAACTTTTTTGGGTTTTTGGGATTTTGGGTTGGGGTGTTTAGAATTCAAGGACTTGGTGTTGGGGAGAGGTTTGCAAGAATCTGGGAGCTTGTGTGGTTTTTTTCTGCATTTTTATGATTTTCTGTGACCATTGGGCCATGTTTATTTTTTTTTTAAAAAAAATCTGGCTTTGAATTTTTGAATTTCTGTGTGCTGGGTGGATGGGGGAACAGCTGGGGAGGTGTTTGCAAGAATCTGGGAGCTTGTGTGCTTTTTTTTGAATTCTTATGATTTTTTGAGACCATCGGGCCATGTTGTTGTTGCTAGAAAACAGTTTCTGGGTGGTAAATTTCTGTGTGCTGGGTGGATGGGGGAACAGCTGGGGAGGTGTTTGCAAGAATCTGGGAGCTTGTGTGCTTTTTTTGAATTTTTATGATTTTTTGTGACCATTGGGCCATGTTGTTGTTTTTTGAAAAAGTTTCTGGGTTTTAAATTTCTGTGTGCTGGGTGGATGGGGGAACAGCTGGGGAGGTGTTTGCAAGAATCTGGGAGCTTGTGTGCTTTTTTTTGAATTTTTATGATTTTTTGTGACCATTGGGCCATGTTGTTGTTTTTTGAAAAAGGTTTCTGGGTTTTAAATTTCTGTGTGCTGGGTGGCTGGGGGAACAGCTGGGGAGGGGTTTGCAAGAATCTGGGAGCTTGTGTGCTTTTTTTGAATTTTTATGGTTTTCTGTAACCATTGGGCCATGTTGTTTTTTTTGAAAAAGTTTCTGGGTTTTGAATTTCTGTGTGCTGGGTGGCTGGGGGAACAGTTGAGGAGGGGTTTGCAGGAATCTGGGAGCTTGTGTGCTTTTTTTTGAATTTTTATGGTTTTCTGTAACCATTGGGCCATGTTGTTTTTTTTGAAAAAGTTTCTGGGTTTTGAATTTCTGTGTGCTGGGTGGCTGGGGGAACAGTTGAGGAGGGGTTTGCAACAGTTGGGGAGGGGTTTGCAACAGTTGGGGAGGGGCTGGGGGAACAGTTGAGGTTTTTGAAGACTTTGGTGATTTTTAAAGCTTTCCCAAAATTTCTTTTGCAGCCATTTGAGGATTTTGAAGACTTTGGTGATTTGCAGCCATTTCGTAAGTTAAACTTTTAAAACTTTTTTGGGGTTTTTGGATTTTGGGTTGGGTGTTTGGAATTCAAGGACTTGGTTGTGGGTTTGAATTGCTGATTTTTTTTTCTTTTCTGAGTTTTACAAAGGTAACAGCTGTGCTGCCATGGGACCCAAGAAGACTGCTGCTGCTGCGGAGGCCGGCGAGAGGAAGAAGGAGAAGGTGACGCTGGAGATGAAGAAGGAGATCATCCGGAAGCACGACGGTGGAATGCGTGTGACGGACCTCGCCAGGGAGTACGGCAGGAACCCATCGACCATCGGGACCATCCTGAAGATGAGGGAGAAGATCCTTGCGACTGATGCAGCCAAGGGAGTCACCAGGATCGTGAAGAACCGCCCAGCTGTTCTGGAGGAGGTCGAGAAGTTGCTCCTCATCTGGATAGAAGAGAAGCAGCGTGCAGGGGACACAGTGACTGAGGCCGTGATTTGTGAGAAGGCCAAGGCCTTGCACGCAGACCTCATCCGGGAACAGCCAGGAACCTCAGGCCGAGCCAGAAGTCTTCAAGGCAAGCAGAGGCTGGTTTGACCGGTTCAAGGCAAGATCCGGAATCCACAGCGTGGTCAGGCATGGAGAGGCTGCCAGTTCTGATGTTCCTGCGGCTGAAGACTTTGCCTTGGAGTTCCTGGAGGTTGTGAAGACGGAGGGCTACGCTCCACAGCAGGTCTTCAACTGCGACGAGACCGGGCTGTTTTGGAAGAGGATGCCCAAAAGGACTTTCATCACTCAGGAGGAGGCCAAGTTGCCTGGCCACAAGCCCATGAAGGACCGTCTGACCCTGCTCTTCTGTGCCAACGCAAGCGGCGACCTGAAGATCAAGCCCCTGCTGGTGTACCACTCGGAGAACCCACGGGCCTTCAAGAAACACAAGGTCGACAAGGAGCGGCTGAGTGTCATGTGGCGATCCAACAGCAAGGCTTGGGTCACACGTGTGCTGTTTGTGGACTGGGTCAATCTTGCCTTTGGCCCTGCTGTCAAACAGTACCTGCTGGACAATGACCTGCCGCTGAAGGCTTTGCTTCTGATGGACAATGCTCCTGCTCATCCTAAAGGCCTTGAGGTGGACTTGTTGGAGGAGTTCAGCTTCATCAACATCATGTTCCTGCCGCCTAACACCACGCCACTGCTCCAGCCGATGGATCAGCAGGTCATCGCCAATTTCAAGAAACTCTACACCAAGGAGCTTTTCAGGCGATGCTTCGAGGTGACTGATTGCACCACCATCACCCTGCGGGAATTCTGGAAGGACCACTTCGACATCGTCACCTGCTTGAAGATGATCACCACGGCCTGGAAGGGATCAGCCAGAGGAATTTGAATTGCGCTTGGCGCAGCCTGTGGCCGGACTGTGTGGCACCAAGTGACTCTGATGCACCAGAGTCGACAGTGGTGCAGGACATTGTTGCCTTGGCGAGGACCATGCGCCAGGACGACACAGAGGAGGACGTTTGCGAGCTGGTGGAGGAGCACGACCACGAGCTGACCACCCAGGAGCTGGTTGCACTGCAGTCAGAGGTTGCGCAGGAGCAGGCCTCGCTGGAAGAGGAGGAAGCAACTGAGGAACGGCTGTCCTCCAAAGAACTGAGGGACATTTGCCAGAAGTGGAATGAGGTGCAGGCTTTTGCAGAGCGGCACCACCCTGACAAGCACGTGGCACATGACCAAGCGAACATTTTTGATACGACGGTCATGTCGCCTCTCAGGGAGCTGCTGAAACGGCGGATGAAGCAGCAGACCATGGACAGGTTCCTCAGCAAGAAGCAAGAGTGGAAGAGGAACCTTCTTCGAGTGGTCCCCAGAGTCTTAGAAAATGTAATGTACCCTTTTTGATTTTTAAATGTTTTTCCTGTCATGTTTAGAAACTTAATTTATTGTTCCTTCAATTTTGATATGCTCTTTAAAGTATGTGTGACTTTAAAGAGCAGTTAATAAACTCTTGTTGTACCGAATTTGGCTTTGATTGGACTTTTTTTGACCATAGGAACGCATTAATTGAATTTCAATGCATTCCTATGGGATTTCGTGCTTCGCAAGACGAAAAATTCGCTAGACGAAAAAACTCGCGGAACGAATTAATTTCGTCTTGCGAGGCACCACTGTAAACATTTATTTTGCTGGAGGCAACAGGGAAGAAGACAAAAGTGGATCTGGTTGGAGAGGAAGAGATGATACAGTTCTGATGCTCAGTGGCCCAGAAAGAGCAGTTACCTCTCTAAAATTAGAACTGCAATTTTTAACTTCTGAGTGGGCATGA